ACTGATTGTCATTTTCCTGAGAAATGGCCACACTGATTTTCAAAGTGACTGTACAAGTTTACACTCCCATAAATTTGAGCATTGTTCTTTCAATATCTGTGAAGGATTGTGTTAAGATTTAATGGACATTACATTGAATCTGTAGATTGCTTTTGGCAAGATTGCCATTTTTACTATGTTGTTCCTGCCTATCCAGGACATTAGGTCTTTCCATTTTATGTTATCTTCTTTAATTTTTCTCTTGAAAGACTCAAAGTTCTCAATATACAAGTTTTTCACTTGTTTGGTTAGCATTACTCCAAGATATTTTACAGTTTTTTTTGGCTGTTGTAAAGTGTGATATTTCTATGATTACCTTCTCAGTGAATTTATTATTTGTATATATCAGGGATACTATTTTTTGAGTTAATTTTGTATCATGCCACATTTCTGAAGGTGTTTACCACCTGTACGAGCTACCAGGTAAAGATTTTTCTGGTCACTATGTAAAGAGGCCTGCGCTGTTGTAAGAGGGAAACAGGGCTGTACTAGGACTGTAAGGAAGAGAGGAAGGAGAGGTCAGGACACATTGCAAAAGACAAGAATAAATAAAAACAAAACAGGAAAAAATAAAGAAAAATTACAGAGAAAAATATTCATGGAAGAAAAATTTGAAAGATCTGCAAAGGACCGAAGAATGTTAAGATCCCTGATACCCATGTAAATCTCCATGAAAAAGTGACTTCAGGAGAAGGGGAAATCAGTGCTCAAGTAGATTGAATGACACATTCTGTGGAATATGAGCCTCTTTCCCAAGCTATCCTTGTTATTGCCTGATGTGCTCATGATAAAAAAAGACTAGGTAGGTGAGATGGGGGTTACCCATGGGCTCAACAATATGGACATCCAATCAACAAGTTTGTCCTGGTTACAGCTGTTGCTGATTACCAGTTCTGCCAGAATCAGAGACCAACACAGATACCAAGAAATTTTACCATTCCCCAGGCAGCCTTGCTGATACTATGACTACAGGTACTACTTCCTCTGTGAATGGATAGCACTTTGGTCTTACTGGAGTTGGTACTTATTCTAGTTCTGTATTTGGTGTCCTTGCTCATAATGACTTTACTAAACCTGTCACAGAATGACTAACCAAATCTGTGTCTCCCATCACGTGGCAGTAACCAGGATGGCTGGTGCAGATGTTTCTAGGAGGTAGTATATGCTTTGACTCAGAAACCAACATATGGTATATTATGTATCTTTGTAAAGATCCATGGGTCCAGACACCTGGTGGTAGAAAAGGGAGGAGTTCAACCACTATTACCCTTGTTCAACTCCAGGTGAAATTTTTGCATCCTCTTCCCATGACCTTCAGTTCTTCTGGTCTGGATATTTTTGTTTAAAGGTGATGTATGGATTGGTGGCAGTACTGCTGACTGGAGCCACAAGAAACATTCCATTGAATTGAAATCTTAGTCTTCTCCCAAGCCACTTTGTGCTTCTAAGGTCCTTAAGCCAACATGCTAAGAAAAAATCTGTAGTCCTAGTGGGTATGACTGAACAAGATAACATAGAGTGCATTGGATTGTTACTCCAAAAGAGAGGTAGCAACCATTATGGCATTTGATCACGCCAAGAATGGGTTTTGTCATACCCACAGAAGAAGAGTAAAGACCATCAACCCAAAATGTACTCAAATTATGTTATCCTTATTTTCTGCAGTGATAGGTTTTCTTCATAAATCCGGGTTTCAGAGAATATCCATTTTATCGGAGAATTGGGATTCTTACTCCATCCCCCAAAGTCAGTGTTTTCAAAGGTTTGGGGTCTTCCAGTGGAATTCTGGTGATGTAATAACTTGGCAGAACATCTTACTTCATAGGTAGAGGTTAGTTTAAGGGGTGTGCAACATGTCAAATACATAAACTTTATTATTTTGCCCTTCTAAAATGATGGGTTCTGATATTGATGAATTCATTCTGTTCCTTGAGTAGTAGAGGAAGGTAATTACAAATACAAATTAAAGCCATGTGAACAATTACACAAAAGAGGATTAGAGTTCGCATGAATATTCTGTTGTATATTTTAGAAATGTGTTCATATAGATATGTGTGTTTTCTTTCAACTTCTTTGTCATGTGATGTAACAGTACATAGTTGAATACCAATGGTTATCATATTTAAGTTTGAGATACTAAAAGATTGTCCCACAAGAACATAGTAAGCTCTTTTAAGTTAACAATGCATTTGTGGTTGTTTGGGAGACAGTTATATCAAGTAGGTGAATTTATACCTTTGTAAATTGTATATTGCATTTGCAATTGTTAAGAAATAATTTGATTATGTTGGGTGAAATTATGAGCTGGTTACTGTTTTCATTTGGAAATTCATCAGGGTATAAGGTGAAATGACTGTGTGTCACATTGAGAAAGTATTGACTTATAATGGCTAATCTTGTTTTTCAACTTTACTACATCTGTAATAAAAGAAAATCTGAAAATGAAAGGAACAAAAGTGAGGGAATTTTGATTAATTTTAGGTAGGAAGAACTACATATATATATATATATATATATATATATATATATATGTTGTGCTGGGAGACCCACTCCTTTATTCTGGTTCTTGATGCAGGAAGACATACTTGTAATTGGACCCCACCATCTGGTAGAAGTATATGAAAAGCGTGGAAGATAAGGTTTTGTGCTTTTCCTGCTTGCTCATGTCTTGCTTGCCTTCAGTGGCATAGAACCTTTTTTGGAATTCCATTATCTCCTCAAGATCATCTAAGACAAAAAGAATCAAGGACTGAGCAATTTTTCAGTTTATAGTATTTCTGTGTATAGCCAGACATTGTTGGATTTCCTGTAGCACAGGATATGTCATTCTTACAATTAGGCACACACATTCATAATGAGAGAAAATCCCCATTCACTTTTTCTGCTGGGGTGTATGAATATGTGGTGGTGACCAACTCTGAAGGTCCTTATAGTGTCTCTTTTCTCTCTGTCTCTCAGTCTCTGTAAACCTCTGCTTCTTTGTCATTTTCACACTTTCTCTATCTCGCTTTGTCCCTGCCTATGTGCCTGTCTTTCTGTCTCTCATTCTCTGTTTGTCCCTCCTTTTCCATCACTTTTTGTCTGTCTCTTTCTAAGTATTTCCTCAAGTTGATCCATCTGTGTGTGTGTGTGTGTGTGTGTGTGTGTTTGCCTTCACCTATTTCTATGTGATTCTGTCAGTTATTTTCCTGTGATGACCAGTAAATTTCTCTAGTATGAGAACACCTTTGCTAACAAAATGCTGTGGCAACTCCTGTTGGGGAACTGATTATCTTTGTTTACCTGCCAGATTATCCACAGAAATTTCTTTCTCAAATAAAACAGCACCTGTCATGTTCCTAGAATGAGAGACTATATGAAGATATCTGGTCCTTCCTGCCACTGGAGTCTCTGGTCTCCTGAGAGAAGTAGCATCCACTCTCTAGGAATATGTTCATGTTATCTCCTGATGTGAGGTAGAAGCAGCACTGGAGAGAAACTTTCAGGAGAAACAGACTAAGTTTCTCCTGAGCTGATATATTCATATCCTCAGTTCTTAGTGGGCCACTTCAGGCATGATGAACTGGAGATGAAACATGTAGCGCCATTTACAGAACATATTTGATGTGGAACCATCTAAAACCCCTTCTTCAGTAACTGTTCAATGTATTGTGTTGAAAAAACAAAATACCCCCTCATTTTTTATGGCCTGCAGCATATAACTATAAATTTAATCACCAGTAAAGGATGCAACTCATGAGGTATTGTAAATGTGCATTTTGGCAGTCAATATGATGGAATTTGGAAGCATTTAGGATCTTCTCATAGTACACCATTATTGGATCTGCAAGGGCATTTCCAAGGTGGATTATCTACTGGGGAGCAGAAAAATAAGCAATCAAATTTGGTGGAACCATTGTAGGGACTGGAAATTGAATGTATTTGACTAAAGACAGGAAAGAAAACAAACACTTTGAGATGTCCCTGCCTGGCTCTGCTTCCTGTCTATCATACATGAATTTTTTCACCTTGACCTCTATGGTGAGAACAGAGATCCCTGATGACATAACGAAAAAAATCTTGGCAGATCATGTTTGGGGTAGGAATTCATGAAACACTATAAGACTTGTAAAAAAAAAACCTGTGCAGACATGGACATTATACCCTCTTTTAAAAATGATTTACCACAATTAGGAAAATACAATTGTGATGTCTAGTCTTGGTTCCCAACTTACCTAAATCTGGGACTAAACTAACTAAAATTCAAGTTTGAAATGTATGCTTGTGAGAAAATTATTTGCTTAAGTAGAAGTAGGTAGATAAACCTCCAAAATGAACTTTGGAGGTCCAAAGTCTGTTTAACCATTTGGAGTATCCCCACTTGGTGGCGCCAGTCTGTATTAAATTGTGTTTTTACCTGAGAGGGGTTGTATGGAAAAGACAGAGCCATAGAACAGAGTCAGGAGGGAAATTCAGTGAATATTGAATGCCCCAAGATTTTTCTTCAACATTCTTAAATGCCTTAAACAAAGAGTGGAAAATGTCACAATACTTCTTCCTAATATTTGGTAAACACGGCTTAGACTAAATCTCAGCCTAACTGGCCTTGAAGGTTAAGAGGAACCACTGCATGACATCAAGTCTGTAGTTATTTAGATAAGACATCCTTGCCTAAGACCAAAAATCCTATAGTAGCCATGCATTACACCTTCTGGTCTTACATTTTTAACCTTGGAAGAGTAAGGATAGTTTGAACTCTTTGACATTAAGCCAAGATGAAGCAAAGGCATTTTTACAAGACCACCAAAAGACACAAGTATTTAATCCAGATCTTGAGGCCAGTTAGCACACACCTTTAATCCAGAATTTGAGTTCAGGTGAAACACCTTTAACTGGGCCACTCCCTCCCATGGCAGAGTACAAGAGTACAAAAGGCCATGAAGTAAGGAAGTAGTTTCTCTTTTACTGCCTCCCCTCACTTGGCAGAAATTCCTTGGCTTCACTGGAATTACAGAATACTTCTTCTCACTTTCAGCATTACTGACCACCAGCTGAAAGACACTTCTTACCTTCTGGTTTGAGTAAGTACTGGACTTTGAACTTGCCTTGACAGCTAGCCATTGTAGTATGAACATGACCCCAGGACTAAGTCATTCTAGTCCCCTTTCTTCAAATATAGAGAAATTCATTGCATGTGTACTACTGCTTTAGAGAACACTAGCACTACAATTTTCCAATAAGACAATATGACATGTTCAAAACAATTCAAAGATGTATGTAAATGTCAAAATTGACCTGTTGTGGTAAGATTCATTCTGTAAAAATGGTGTGAGGTAGTATTCCCCAGTAGACTAGACTGTGTTCTCGGAAACTTATATTACAACCTGAATGGAAAATGTCACAAAAACCCAAGATTTCAAGAAAAAGAATAGGAAGTAGAAATGAAAATGGAAACTAAAACCCTAAATATTATCTCTAATTGTGAACTCCAGGTTAAAGAAGGAATACTCTAGTTCTTGGTTTTGCATCGAAGTTAATCCTCAGAATACCACAAGAAATATGTCAGAGGAATTGGGAGTGGAGAGCTGGGACTACACACCGATCAACATCCAGAAATACTACTACAGGTGGACCATCAGCAATTTCCGTTTTTACTTGGAGCAAATGCAGGAATCAAGCATTAAGAGTCCTGCTTTCTCATCAGGTGCCAATGACACACATGAATGGTGTTTGAAAGTACACCTGAATGGGGTCGATGAAGAAAGCAAAGGTTACTTGTCAGTTTCCTTAGGGTTGCTCAGCTGCCCAAAGCGCCCAGTATGGGCAAAGTTCCAGTTGTGGATCCACAGTGCTGAAGGAGAGAAATCCCAAACAATGAAGAGCCCAACATACTTAAAGTTTCTGCAAGACCATCACTGGACATTCAAAAAGTTCATCCTTCGGGATTTCATTTTGTCCCGGGAGCCTTGGCTTCTCCCAGATTACAAGCTCATTCTCATGTGCAAGATGAATGTGGTCCAAGATGACTTCTGCATCTCTGGTGAGAGCACGATGCCAGGGATGCAAGTTCCAAGGTGCACAATGGCAGATCAGCTAGGAGAGCTGTGGGAGAATTCCCTCTTCACAGACTGCTGCTTGGTGGTAGCTGGCCAAGAATTCCGGGCTCACAAGGCCATCTTAGCAGCTCGTTCCGCAGTTTTCAGAGCTTTGTTTGAACATGACCTGGAAGAGAACGGAAAAAACACATTGAGATCCATGATGTGGAGCCACAAGCCTTCAAGGCAATGATGGGCTTCATTTACACCGGGAAGGTACCAGACCTGCAAAGAATGGCAGCTGCTCTTCTTGCAGCTGCTGACAAGTATGGCCTGGAACGTTTGAAGGTCATGTGTGAGGATGCCCTCTGCAAGGACCTCTCCGTAAATAAGGCTGCCCAAACTCTCATCCTTGCTGACCTACACAGTGCAGAGCAGCTGAAAGCCCAGGCACTGGCTTTCATTACAGTGCATGCTTCTGAGATCTCTGAGACTTCAAGCTGGAAGACAATGGTGGGCTCACATCCCCACTTGGTGGCTGAAGCATACAGCTCCCTGGCTTCTGCTCACTGCACTTTACTGGGGCCACCCCCCAAACGCCTGAAGCAATCTTAGAATCCTCCCACCTCAGACCTACAGGTATATTCCAGAAGCAGCAGCCAGCATTGTTACCCTGGACTCCTGGGTAGACTGCGGCCATTGTAGACATTTTTAGAGAATCTGTGGAAAGAAGCATGGGGGCATAGGCCTTTAATAACCCTGGAAAGTAGTTGAATATAGGTTTGGTGTAGGGAGAGCACTGTATTCTAGGATACAATGCAATTGCTGAAGTGCTTTGCTTTCTCTACAGCAAGTTGAATACTGGTGAATCAGTTGGGTTGTTGCCCCCAAGAACACCCCAAAAGCATTTCTTTAAAGGAACCTGACTGGATTAGACTGAGCAGAGCATATGATCAAGGATTTAGAGCAAAGGAGGAAACAAACATGAATGTGCTTACAAGAGACAAGGAAGAGAAAGAAGATAGTTTTTCTCTCCTAACTCAGTGTGTGGGGACTGGAGGATTGACTCAGTTGGCCAAAGCAATTGTTACTCCTACAGAGGAGGAGTTCATGATTTCAGATCTCATCATGCATGGGTGACCCTCAACCATCTCTAACTGGAGACTCACAGGACTGGAGTTCTCCTCTTGTGTCTGTAAACTAAACACACTATGAAGTGAATAAAGTTTTGATAATCAATTTGAGGATTCTGTGGTGTTTCTGTTTGAATAAGACCATTTTAATTCACCCAGTTCTTCTCAGTTTCTGGGAGTTGGGGCAGCATCATCAGGGACATTCCATTCACAGAAGGTGTCATTCCTGTTTCTTGGAACTTAGTTGGCAGAGCAGATGCCAAAAGGGAAGAAGACAACTTCATCTGAAAGAGTCTTTAGGTAGTCTAGACTTTGCAATAGACATTATGGGTTTTGAACAAAAGGAGAAAGAAATTTATTGAGAAATCAAACTTTCTCCACTTGAACTGTGGGTATGTTTTTAGGTATTGGGCAAATAATTCCTCCATTGTTGCTAACACAATCTAGCTTGGAAACAGGGTCAAAGGCTGTGCCTTTACCTCTCCTCACTTGTCCTCCACTGTCTGACTCTTTTGGTTCTCTTTTGACAGCTCTTACCAAGTTACACTGGAGTCATAGAGTGAGACATTAATCCCAACCAAGCTCCCTGTTAATTTAGGCACCAAAGATTGAAAACAGCATGTCCATGTGTGTGTTGTAGCCAGGTTACTGTCAAATGACACCCACTCTACAGAGAGAAATTGCTTTCCTTGGTTTCGTTTGCTATGTTTATAAGTTGCATATGGGAGACTAAGATTATTTATTTCTATCAATGCTACTTAAACCAAATTCAGGAAACCAGATAACTAGTATTTTAAAACAGGGAAAAGCATATCATATCATCATTGCTTTGTGGTAGAATATTCCCTGCTCAGATTGACTGACTGTCCACATGATTGATCTCGAGTAGGAGACTGCCCACATACATGATAGGAGCCCTTCTTCCTAGAGGAAAGAACTTCTAAGCATTCATTTATAATTTAGAATGGATCTCTATCCTCTACATCTCTCTGTGTGTAGCCAACTTTTATCTTTCTTTGTCTGTCTCTGTCTATCTCTCTCTCATTGTCTCAGTCTGTGTCTCTTTCTGTTCATCCCTGTGATTCTTTCTTCTATGTATGTTTCTCGGTCATTGACACACTGTGTCTCGGTCCGTCTGTCTCTCTGTGTGTATACCTGTCTCTATTTCTGTTGTTGAACATCTCTTTGTCAATCTATGTATTTACTTCCCCACACCCGTGTGCTTGTCTGTTTAGACTGAACATATCTGTCTGGATGTCTGTCTCCTTGTTACACTCTCATGTCTTTCTCTCTGTTTATCTCTACACATCTCTCTCTCATTCTCTCTTTGTCTGTTTCATTATCTGTGTCACTGTATATCCTCTCTTTCCTTTTCTTTCTCTCTCGCTCATCATTTCTCTGTCTTTTTCTGTCTCTTGATGTCTTTCTGTATGTTTGTATGTGTGTGTGTGTGTGTGTGTGTGTGCAAATCCTGCTGTGTCTCTGCTTAATTTTCTGCATGCTTAACTATCTCTACTATACCTGTATTGTGCAAGTGTGTCTGCATTTTTTCTATATATTTCTGTCAGGTTGTTCTCCTACACTGACATACTCTTCTCTGGAATATGGAAACTCTTGTAGTTCTACATGTGTGCCTCATCCTGTGGGGACATGAATGCTGTGTCTCCATAAAGTCACAAGGAGAACCACCTACCCAAAATAAAACCTCCATCAATGGCATACTTGAGATGAGAATCTACATTAAAAACCTGGTGCTTTCTGCCACAGGGTCTCACAGTTACCCCAGCAGACATTGCCCCAACTCTCCAGAAACAAGCTCATAGGAGCTCAAGACTACAAATTAGAGTACTTTTCTTACAAATGAGGGGCCTTGCAGTGATAGCCTAGCTTCATTCCAAATGATGCACTTTGAGGGAAGGGGAACCTGCCACAGAGAATAGCCACAGGTGATACTAGTTATCTACCTGTTATAGCGGCTTAACTTAGGAAGCAACTTTTCAGGGGGTCCAATCCAGTTGATTGATTTATACTGTATGGAGGGGGAGAAGCATTGGAGCCAACTTTCAGGAGACCTATGCTGTGGATTGATTCCCTTAACGTAGTTTCATTTCCTTCTGGCTTAGTGAGTCCCTCCAGACATCATGAACAGAAGAGAGATGACAGGTATGGGGAGTATTTTACAAATCACCTTTGAGGAGGAGCCATCACATAACCTTTCCTTCAGTATCTATTGGATGTATTCTGATATACGAGAGAAAATTTCTCACTTTTAATGTCCTTCAGAGAAAGCATGGGAGCTCAAAATTTGGAGAGGACAGAAATCAGCAGTGAAATATGCAAAATGTGCTGTGTTTGTCTTTTTCTGTTTGGGTTACCTCACACAGGATTGTTTTCTTCTAGTTCCATCCATGTGATTGACAATTCATAATGTCATTGTATTTCCCCCTGACTCATACCCCATTGTTTAAATGTACCACATTTTCCTTACCCAGGTTTCAGGTGAGAGGCAGATAGGGTGTTTTCAGGTTCTGGCAATTACAAATAATGCTTCTGTGAACATATCTGATTGACTGAATGTTCTTATTTTATGTTGGTGTATCCTTTGTGTATAGGCCCAAGATCGGTATTGTTGTTACTTGTGTTAGAGTAATTCCCAGTTTTCTGAGAAATGGCCATCAAGATTTCCATAGCAACTGTTTAAGCTTGAACTCTCACCAGCAATGGAGCAGTAATCCACCATAAGGTTTCATTCATGGTTTTGTCTTAGCCAACCTGACCAGTATAAAATGGCATCGTAGAGGAGTTGTTTTCCCAATACATTTTTAATTTAAAGTAGAAACATGCTTGCTTTACATGACATTTCAGGCTCCCTCTCCAAACCCTCCTCCTTTACCCCTCTACCAGCCCCCCATCACCCTACCTAATCGCCACACCATTCCACAGGTAGGGTGAGGTCCTCCATGCTGGAACTCCTGAGTCTGTCATTTCATCCAGGGCAGAGCCTGGGCCCTCCCTGTTTGTCCAGGCTGAGAGAGCATCCCTCCTATTGAAATGGGCTCCCAAAGTTCTTTCATAAGCCATGGTAAACACTGATCTATTACCCTTGGCACTAGAGATTGCAGAGTCCTCCTCACTTACACTATGTCTTAGAGGAGTTTTGATTTGCATTTCCCTGATGGCTAAAGTATGAAGCAGTTCATTTGCCTTTTGACCATTCGAGACTGCACTTTTGAGAATTCTCTGTTTAGCTCTGTATCTCATGTACTCACTCATAGGTAGATTTTTCACATAAAGCAGAGGATAGCCAGCTTACACACCACAACCTCTAAGAGTCTAGGAAACAATAAGGCTCACTAATAGGTAAATAGATGGATTCTCCCACCCCAGAAAATGGAAATAGGAAAGGTCTCCTATGTATATTTGGAACACAGGTGAAGAAATAGTGGGCTTGCAGAAGGGACAAGTGGAGCTTGGAGGAAAGTAAGAGGGTCTGGAAAGGTCGAGTTTGGGGAGGCTCCAGAGAAAATGAGCAAGGAAAGGGAGACCTTGATGGAGAGAGCAGTTGTGGGGTTAGCCAGGATCCTGGGTCTAGGGAAATTTCCAGGAATCCACAATCATGAGCCCTGCTAAGACTGTAAGCCATAGTGGAGAGGGCACCTTAGCAGCCTTTGCCCTACAATCAGATTGTTGACTACCTTAGAACCTTCATTCAATAACCCACAAAAGCAGATGAAGAGATCCACAGCAAAGCATTGGCCCAACTCCTGGTGTCCAGTTTACAGTGAGTCATGTGATGATATTAGCAAAGTGGCCACAATCCTGGGTCAGAAACAGCTGACCAAAGCAAGAATCAAGTTGGAGGTCCCTGAGTCCAGATTGACAGCTTTGGAAGCTGCATAATACTGAACTAGGTTCTAGAAATATCTGTGACCATTGGATGGCTTGAGCAGTTGGTAGGAGCATTAGACGGTGAACAATTATTTATCCATAGTGCTTGACCTGGCTTTGGGAGCCCATTCCCTGTGGAGACATACCTTGACCAGCCTGTCTACATGACCTGCCTGCAGTGATGTCACAGATTTTGTTGATTTCCCATGTGGGAATTCCATTTTCAGAGGACTGAAATGTGGGTGGGGTTGGTCGACTGTGCTCCTTGCTGGGGGATTAAAAGTGAACTGGGATTGTTATGTAAAATAACATTGTTTTAAAATTTTAACACTGATAAAATAAACAAATTTTCAAGAAAAATAATATAGAACGTATTGACTAACAGAATCTAATCAGTCGCCATGATTGAATTGAGAAGATTTTATGATCTGCATGGAGCACAAGAATGAACTTACAATTCTCAATGTTACTCTTGGTTGCTGACCTGACTTTATCATGAATAAACTAGCATACTATCATGGAGAGAACTGCTGTGAGCAATATTCTGCTTCAGTAATGTAGGTAGATTCAATACCAAAAGGAACATTGGACATAGAGAGATACGAATATCTAATCCTGATATCAAGACCAGAAGACAAATACACATTTAATCCATACCTTGATCTTTAATTAGGCCACACCTTCTGGTGTGAGCCTATAAAGGGGCATGGAGAGAAGAACGTCTTCTACTTTGCCAACTGGCCCTTGCCTTACAGCAAATACCTTCATTCACTGCCATTAGTGGCTACTTACTCTGACTTCCAGAATATACTGAAGATCATCAGACAGGGCCAAACTTCTGGATTGAGTGAGTACTGGATTCTTAGACTTTTCCTTCTTAGCTACACATTGTGGGATTAGCAAGCTTACAGGAATAAGTCATTCTACTGAATCCCCTTTCTTCATATGGGGAGAGGTTCATTTTATCTACTCTGTTGCTCTAGGGAACCCTAGTACAAAAATTTTTGATATGTGTGTATATAATGTTCCAAACAATTCAAGAGTTGAGTATAATTGTCAAAAGTAGTTACCCAGTAACCTTTGATTCTATCTAGAAAATAAAATAGGGAGGGACTGGTGGGGTTGTAACTGTAAGTATAAACATAAACAGACTTCTCTGAATCTAACATTGGAATCTGGATAGAAAATTTCAGAGAGACCCAAGTCTCCTACCCCATAGGGGTAGGGACAGAGAGCATAGCAGAAAATAATATTCTAAAGATCTGTCTGTGGTGCCACATAGTGTACGATTCATTAAAACCACTGGGGATCAAAATAGCAAAGCAGCCATACTACTTAACCATAGAAGGCAGGCACACACGTTTCCTCCAGGGACTCGGGGAACAAAGGCAGATATATCTTTCTGTGTTCAAGTACACCCATGGCCATTGAAACTGTATAAAAGAGTAATATAACTCACACCCTTGATTCCAGCACTAGAGTGGTATAAAACATAGGAGCTGCATCTTCAGTAGACAATCTCAGGATTATCTCCAGTTAGGCTGAGGATAGGCAGCACTGTGAAGCTTGAGGAGAGATATGGAGCCTGAGGTTGAGGTAAGAGCTAGTTGCTTGGCTGCTTTGCTTGACTGATATTCAGCATGAAGGTTAAACCCCAATATCTTTCTCTGGTTTTTAATTTTTCGTGTTATAGATATCTGTAATTGTGACCCCAGGTTGACAAAGAAAAAGTCCTACTTATTCATATTGGAACCATGTTAACATTCAAACTGCCAAGTTAACCTGGCAGCTGAGAGCTGGTGCTACACAGAGATCAGCTTCCAGAAACTTCTACAGTTGGACCATCAGCAACTAATGTTTTTTCCTTCGGGAAATGTGGGAAGCCATTAAAAGTTCAACCTTGTTCTCAGTAGTCAGTGACACAGACAGATGGTGTTTGAAAGTACAACTGAATGCTGTCAATGTAGAAAGAGAAGGCTTCTTCTAAGTTTACCTAACATTGCTCAGCTGCCCAAGGAGCCCAGTATGGACAAAGTTCCAGTTATGGATCATCATTGTTGAAGGAGAGAAAACACAAGGCATGAAGAGTCCAAGATTCTTCAGGTTCCTGCAAAATCAACACTAGTGATTCTCAAAGTTGATCCTTTGAGATTTCCTCTTGTTCCAGGAGCCTTGGCTACTGGAAGATAATGAGCTCACCCTCCTCTGCAAGGTGACTGTGGTCCAAGATGCCTTCTAAAGTCAGACAGAAACGAAGCCAGGGATTCAGGATCCAACAAACTCAATATCAGATGAGCTCTTCTCAAAATGCTGCCTATGAAGTTAGATGACCAGGAATATCCAGGCTCACAAGGCCATCTTAGCAGCTTGCTCTCCAGTTGACAGAGCCACATTTGAACATGATATGTAGGAGAGCAGAAAAAACCGAGTTGAGTTCCTTGTTCTGTAGTCACAAGTCTTAAAGGCAATGGTGGACTTCATTTACACCTGGAGGACACCAGACCTCCACAGCATGGCAGACGCTGTGCTGGAAGCTGCTGAGAAGTATGGCATGGAGCATTTGAAGGTCACATTTGAGGATTTCCTCTGCAAATACCTCTCAGCGAATAAGGCTGCCCAAACTCTCCTCCTGGCTGACCTCCACAGTGCAGGGCAGCTGAAAACCCAGGCACTGGATTTCATTACAGCTCATGTTTCTGAGGTCTCTGAGACCTCAAGCTGGAAGACAATGGTAGCCTCATATCCCCAGTTGGTTGCTGAAGCATTCAGCTCCCCAGCTTCTGCTCACTGCTCTTTACTGCAGCCCCCTAACAAATGCCTGAAGTGATCTTAAGATCCTCTCAGCTTTTTGTCCCACGCTACCGTCTCGCCAGCAAGAACGACGTGGCACACTTAGGATCCTTCTTGAACAAAAGAAAAACAGAAGAAGAGAAGAAAACTGCTGCCCTGCAGAATGAGTTAGAAACTGCTGATAAATTAGTAGGAGACTTAAAACAACAGCTTACAGAAAAGGACCAAGAGACCCAAAACTTAAAACTGGAGTTAGCCAGTTGTAAAGAAAAAGAGAACCAGTATGTTTTAGAAATTAAACAGTTCATGGGGACAGTTGAAGAACTCCAGAAGAGACATTACAGAGATAACCATATAGATACTGACATATTGCAAAGAATGGAGAAAGAAACACAGCGGAAATTAGACCACCTCCAAGCAGAGCTAGATGAGATGTATGGGAGACAGATAGTGCACATGAAGCAAGAATTAATAAAGCACCATCAGTCTCAGATAGAGGATCTTAAATCCCAGCATAAAGGAGAAATGGAGACTACTTTAAAGTCATATGCACACACTACTGTCGGTACATGCAATATGCATAAAGATTATAAAGAACAACTAGAGTTACTGAATGTGTCGATAAATGAACTGAATAAAAAATTGCAAAATACTCTTTCTGAAAAGGAGAACTTTAGTGATGAGCTCTGTGTAGTCAAGAGAGAAAAATGTGTGCTTCAGAGTCAGTTTAATGATCTTTTAGAAGAATTAAACTTTTTAAGAGACCAGATTCATAGAGCAAGGCAGACAGTATCTGAACAAGAATGCAAACTGAATGACGCACGCAGGTCCCTCAGCACAGTGAAAGACTTGATAGCTGAGATCTCAGCAGCATCCGACTTCCGGAAGGAGCTGGAGTTACAACATGAATCAGAAATTACAAATTACAAAATAAAGCTTGAAATGCTAGAAAAAGAAAAGAACGAGGTACTAAGCAGAATGGCTGAGTCCCAAGAGGCGGAGCTGGAGCGATTGAGAACACAGCTCCTCTTCAGTCATGAAGAAGAACTCTCCAAGTTGAAAGAAGATCTGGACGTTGAACATTGAATAAATGTTGAAAAACTTAAAGAGAATTTGGCCCTTCACCACAAGCATCAGATAGAAGAGTTAGAAAATGAAATGAGTAAGAAGACTGAAATTATGCAGTGCGAAAAAGACAACTTGATAAGTAAGCAGAATCAGCTGACTTTAGAAATTTGTGAGCTGAGAGATTTACAGCAGTCCCATATTGATTTGAAATCAGAACAAATGACTCTTCAGATTAATGAGCTTAAAAAAGAAATTGATATCCTCAAACTTGAAGAAAAGGAAAAGCATACACTTGAGCAAGAAATTCAGGAATTACAGCTTAAAACTGACCTTCTAGAAAAACAACTGCAGCAAAAAGGGGAGGACCTTCAAGAAAAATGTACACAACTTGAAGCAGAGAATAGCATTCTTAAAGATGAGAAGAAAGTCCTCGAAAACCAGCTGAAATTTTACACTCCTACTGACCAAGAAGATTAATTGCCTTAGATTCTAGTGCATACTTGTCAAAAGGCTGTAACTGCCAAAAAGAAATTGATGCACTCACTAAGGAAAAGGATGACCTGAAACAGAAATGTATTCACCTCAATAAGGAGATCGAAAAGCAAAGGAATACATTTTCCTTTGCTGAAAAGAACTTTGAAGTTAATTATCAAGAGTTACAGGAGGAGTACGCTTGCCTTCTCAGAGCAAGAGACGATTTAGAAGACATCCAAACTAGGCAGGCTTTGGAGTACAAAAACAAGCTTAAAGCACTGACCGAAGAGCTCCATTTGCAGAGAGGAAGCCCGGTGATGCACACAGAGAAGCCTTCTGAGTTTATCGATGCCAAAGCTTTTATAGTGGAACCGTTGGAAGTCAGGGAGTTAGTTGAAAAAGATATTACAGACGGTAATGAAAATGGGAGAGAAGAGTTGATATTGCCAACAAGAACTATTGAACCGGCTGATGGTATAGTTGAACCATGTGAAAAACTCCAGGAAGAACTTTGCGCCCTCCAGGCCAAGCAGGCTGATTTAAAGCTGCAGATGGAAGCCCAACGGATATGCCTTTCCCTAGTTTATTCAACTCAGGCAGATCAGGTTCATGAATATATGGAAAAGGAAAGAGATGCAGCTCTTTGCAGCCTTAAAGATGAGCTTGTTTCTGTTCAAGAAAGAAAACTGGTTGAGCTTCATAAAATGCACCAGTGCCAGCTTCAGGCTCTTCAGAGACAGAAGACAGGTGAAGACAAAGAACCTTTACAGGTGCTCATTGGACGACTTCAAAAGGCAGTGTCTGAGGAGTACTGCTTTGTTTTAAAGACTCTAAATTCTTTTCTTGATGAACACCGTTGTCCTTTAAAATGTGAAATGAATATAGAAGAGAAAGAGAATTCTGGTGTATACAATGAAATTCCAAGGTTGAAATTACAAGAATACAGATACCAAGTTGAAGATTTTCAACATAATATGGAAAATTTTCTGAGTAAAGTCACAGATGAACACAGCAAGCTTGTGACACTACAGATGCAGTTAAGCAAGATTCACGGACAGCAAACAGATGGTGTGAAACTTGAGTTTGCAGAGGAAAATGTGGCAGGAGAGGAATCAGGGATTTTGTCAGCACACTCTCAGGCTGATTTACAGAACACTGACATCCGTCATGAGAGTGAGCTGTCTTCTCTGCCGGAGAGTGAAGACAGTAAAGAGCATGAAAAGCAGCTTCAGGGGTTAGAGAGCCCTGTGAATACCTTAGAGCAGCAGCTGAAAGCAACTGAAGCTTATTGTGGAGCAGAGATCCCGACGGTTCAGGGAAGCGTTGAGACCATCCATGGACCGTCAGCACAGTTGAGTGTTGATGCAGTGGTATTAAAAGACAGTGATTTACAGAAAACACTCTACTCTGGAATTTGTCTACAGGAGCACACTGTCAGCATCACAGAGTTTCCGGTTGGATTTGAAAGAAGTCAAGAAACAAATATGGTTCAATTAATGGAAAAACAGTATCAAGAACGTTTAGAAGAAGAAGTTGCTAAGGTCATCGTGTCAATGAGTATAGCATAAGCTTACAAAGCGGAGACCTGGGGAGCGAAAAGCCCAACCCTTATATAGCTCAGCAGTCCCCGCCTTGGACGTGTCATCTCCTGACTGGCTCCTGCTCGTCAGCCCATATGACGTCACGGGAGAGGCAGAGAGTAAGGGATAGAAAAGTAGCAGGCACATGCGCACCAAGGTTGTTTACTCCAACCGACAACGGATGTCAGCGCCATCTTGTAACGGAGAATGTGGGGGCGGCTCCCTACATCTCCCCCCTTTTTGTTTTAATAGCAAACAGGCTCTCCCAGGACATTAGAGGGTCGAGACAGTGGTTGAACTTCCCAAAGAACAAAATTAGTGAGACGTGTACGAAACCTATCCCTAGATTCATCAAAGTCCGGGATGCTTCCGACTTGTCCTCTGCCTTTTTTTTGGGGAAAGGGAAAAATACAGCAGGTAACCCTTATGCAGGACAACATGTCTCTCAGAGGAAAATATCTCTCTGTGCGATGCCTTTGCTCAATACCCCTCTTGGGAGGCCAGACTAAACACTCTACCCTGTGCAATGAACCTAAGTTCCGGGTGTGCAGGAGCTGTTCAGTTGGCAGCCTATTGCTTAAGCATAGTCACCCAGATATCGGTTGACACCCCTTGCTCGAGCGCAGCCAGTGCTTGTGCTATGACCACCTTATCTCTTTTGTTTTGGGTTCTGAGCTTGCAGACCAGCCAGAAAATAAACACTATTCCGCAGCATAGGACTGCTCCAAACAATCCCACCCCCACCCATTCTTTGAAATATGAAACAGCTGAAGAAATCCACGAAGACAATCCCTCCATGAAGGACAGGTCAAGGCAGGTAGAATTAATCTGAACAATGGCGACCCTCAATTCGCGAAGCATCTGCTCAAATTCATAGGTCCAATTCATTGCAATTAGTCCCATCAATGTCAAGTTGTTCCTCTTTGTCACGGAAATGTCTCGCCATCCTTTTGCTCCATAACGGTTCTGGTGAGTCGTTCTGGGACCCAAAAGGGATTTTCTTCATTCTGTGGAAAAACACAAACAGCTCCCCTGGATCTTATTAGAATAGGATCCGGGCCTTTCCATTAGCACATCTTTCCATTTTACAAATTCTTTGGGTCTTTGCGGATCCGAGCAATGCCTTGTTGCTGCATTTTGACCCTTATCCAGTTCCTGAAAAGGGTATAAGCCTTCTCCCTTTTTTTGTTTATCTTCTAATGTCCCTCTTGGGGACTGTAAGGGCTCCCCCTTATTCTTAGTTACAACCGGTTTCTTTTTACGTGCACCTAACCTCTCACTACGCTTGGTTTCTGACATGCTATCCTGATTGAGAGGAGCCATGATAAAAATAAACACCTGTGGCTCATCTAGGTCCGACTTAAGGGCGCAAATGAAACAAAAGTAACGACTGCACACAGCTCTTTTACAAGATACTAAAGCACACAGTCAGGCACTGCCGCTTTTTTACGTCGGACTTAAGGCACCTAACAGTTGTAACGATGTAACAATTGTAACAGAGGCTCCAATCCAAAGTCCCAGAATAGCATACCTCTCCGAGCGTAGTTACCTGCAGTTCTGAATCCTCCTTGAGTCCAAGGGGTCTCCGATGGTGCTGACAATGATGATGTCTTGAGTTTCCCGGGTTTCGGCACCAGATGTCCCGCGCTACCGTCTCGCCAGCAAGAACGACGCGGCACACTTAGGATCCTTCTGCAGAACAGCTTTAATGCGTCTTGAGAGGGAGAGCATAAGCTTACAAAGCAGAGACCTGGGGAGCGAAAAGCCCAACCCTTATATAGCTCAGCAGTCCCCGCCTCGGACGTGTCATCTCCTGACTGGCTCCATCAGCCCATATGACGTCACGGGAGAGGCAGAGAGTAAGGGATAGAAAAGTAGCAGGCACATGCGCACCAAGGTTGTTTACTCCAACCGACAACAGATGTCAGCACCATCTTGTAACGGAGAATGTGGGGGCGGCTCCCTACACTTTTCCCTAAGGTGTATTCCAAAAAAACTTCAGCCAGATTTATGCCCAGGACACCTGAGTACACTGGGGGACATTGCAGACTTTTCAGAGAGTCTGTGGAAAGACAGCATGGGGCTTAGGCCTTTAGTGAATGGCAGTTTGGGGTAGGGAGAGCACTGCTTTCTAGGATACTATACCCAGTTGTTGCACTGGTTCATATTCTCCACAGTGAGTCATATACTGGGCATTCAGTTGGGTTGTTGGCCCCAAGACCATCCCAAAAATTTTCCTCAGAGGAACCTGTCTACATTAGACTGAGCAGAGCATATGATCAAGGATTTAGAGGAAAGGAGAAAAAACATGCATATTTGCTTACAAGAGACAAGCAAGAGAAAGAAGACAGTTTTTCTCTGCAGACTCAATGTGTGTGGACTGGAGGGTTCACTCATTTCCATGACTTCAGCTCTCATCATATATGAGTGAATTCTCATCCATCTCTAACTGGAGATTAGAGTATTTAATTTCTGCTCTTGTGTCTGTAAACTACACACACTATAAGGTGATTAAAATTTTGACAATCATTTTGTGGATTCTGTGGTTTTTCTGTTTAAAGAAGCCCAGTTTAGTCCATCCAGCTCTGCTCTGATGTGAAAATTGGCAGAATCCTTAGGGCCACACCTGTCCCACTAGACCTCCCTCCATTTTCTTGGCAATTGCAGTTTGCAGAGCAGATAACATCCCCTCATTCTCTTGTGGAAAATGAGATGTGGATGCCACATGGGAAGGAGACAACTGAATCTGGCTGAGTGTTTTCATAGTCTAGTCTTTGCAAAAAGACTTTATTGGTATTAAAAAGGAGAAGGAAATTGACTTATTGAGAATCCATAGTTTCTCCACCTTAACTGTGGGTCTGTTTTTTGTTGCTTTAGCATTAGTAATGAGACTGGTGGGTGGTATCTAGACAAACCAAAGTAGATGGGTAAATCTTCTGACAGGTTACATGCTTCTATGGATTAATTGGATAATCTGTGGATTATCAGAGGATACCTGCTGAGGATGGGGAGGGAGTTTAAAGGGGGATGCTCTATGGGATCCACAGGGGATTATGGAAGGTTGATTATAAGGACTGCAGCTTATTCTGTATTCCATAGCTGGGCATGCAACTGGAGAAGTGAACCTGTGGTAACATAGGGAGAAGAGATATGCAGACAGCTTAACTGGTTTTCTGGCAGGCATGTCCTAGAGTTATGATTCTTAGCCTGTGGCTTGTGACCCTTTGGGGCAGTTCAAGGATCCTTTCAAGAGGTGGAATATCATAAATACTACATTATTTTCAAACAGCAGAAAACATACAATTCTTTGTAGCAATGAAATGATTTTATGGTAGGGGATCACTACAACATGAGGAAAATAATTAAAGGGCCCCAGGGTTAGGATTGTTGAGAATCATGGGCCTACAGAGTATGGGTTCTTCATGAATGAATTCTATGAAATATTTTCAATACAAATGTGACTTTTGCATGCTTGAATCAAAAACACTTCTCTGTCAGATGGAACATGATGTCTCCACTTGCGCCTATTCTTGTCATTTTTATAAGAGCATGGCTGGGTCATGCTCTGTCAGCAATAAGTCCTAGAAAGGAAAGTGGCCTTCTGATACTTGTGTGGCAGTGAGGATTCTGCATATACATGCAAAGCTTAGCAAAGCTGGCTGGACTAAAATGGGATTTTGTAAAAAGAAACTATACTGGAATCCACAAAGTGATGTAAATATATGTATGTATGCATGTGTATGTATGTGTATATATATGTGTATGTATATATATTTATATGTATATATTAGAGTTATGGGTTAAAAATTAAGTCACAGCTAGCCAATGAGAAACCATAGCAAATTGCCATCAGCTTTATAATTAATATAGCATCCCATGTGTTCATTTGGGAATGATGCAGCTCAGGGAACAGATTGGTGGGAAGAATGCTCTTTACAAATATCGACCCCAAAGGGACAAGTATTTTTATGTCAAACTAGGAAAAGCTTAAAAACGATTTTAGAAACCAAAAAAAGAGAGAGAGAGAAGCAAGCCTTCTTAGTATCAGCATTTTCTCAGGTGGGCTATGTTTAGCTAGAGATAAGCAGAGACTTGCTGGATCAATGGTCACAGTATTCTTATGCCTGCCATGTTGAAAACCCAGCAGCTAAAACAGTACATGCTTTAATTTCAGCAATCTTGTTCACCAGATAATATACATGTGGCCAAGGAAAGAAATAGAAAAAGGATACCAGATTTAAAAAAGGGAAAAAGAGAGTAGTTGGTGTGATGGAACACACCTTTAATCCAAACACTCGAGAGACAGAGACAAACAAATCGCTCTCATTTAAAGGCCAGCCTGGTGTATAGGGGAAGTTCAAGGGCAGCCAAAGTACACAGAGAAATCCTTTCTCAAAAGAACTAAAAGTAAATTTAAAAGATATAGAGCAATAAAAAAGCCATGTAAAGAAGGGAAATACACAGAGCTTCTTTTTTTTTAGTTTTTTGTTTTTAATTTTCCATTTTAAATTTAGATAAGAAACAAGGTTGCTTCACAAGTCAGTTCCAGGTCCCTCTCCCTTTCCCTCCCCTCCTCCCGTGCCCTCCCCCCATCCCCCCCCCCCCCCCCGTTATCCCCTCATTCCCCCAGGGAGGGTGAGGCCCTCCATGGGGTTGTCCATAGTCTGTCATTTCATATAGGGCAGGGCCTAGACCCTTCCCCAAGAGTTCAGGGTGAGAGTGCACCTCACATTGTTCTATGGGAGTCCAAAGTCCGTGTGTATACTTGGGATGGGTACTGATCTGCTGCCCAAGGCTCAATAGATTACCTAGGCCTCCTCACTGACACCCAGATTCAGGGGGTCTTGATCAATCCCATGCTGGATTCCCAGGCTGATGCCTGGGATTCAAGAGTTAACCTTTGTCTGGTCAGCTGTTTCTGGGGGTTAAACCAAATGAGACATTGAAACTTGCCTCTCAGCAATATGAATTGAGAGGTCTTTAGGCTCTTCTCATAGTACACCTGCAGTGTATTAGGAAGAGTGTGCAAGAAGGATTAACTGAGAAGTAGTGGCAAGGCCACCAATGAAATTTTATGGATATGTCCCCAGAACTGTGAGTATGGATGGAATAAAAAGTAAGAAAGAAGATAG